GGTTAATTGGTTTCCACGCTTAATTGAACCACATGATGGGGCAAAAAATATTTCATAGGAAAATACATGTAAATTTTCTCGGATAATTAAACCCTGTTAATTGATTTTCCCGCTTAATTGGTTCAAAATGCATGTCATCAAAAATAAATTTCCTTTTACTTTTCACCGGTTAATTGCATAATAATAATTGAAAAATAATCTGCCATTTTTTACATAGATATAGATATTAATTCAAAACATATGTTTATTGCTAAGGAAAAACTGCGAGAAAGCGTAATTTGTATTTGACATTGTTTTTTTTAATCATTATCAGTTCCAATTATACGTGATTACTGTAATTGAACAAACTATTCAATTAAGCGGGTTCGGATAATTGGTTCCTCGGTTAATTGAACAAAAATTTGTGCAAATTTTGATGTGCAATTAACCGAAAAATACTGTATTTCGAACGTTAATAATTGGAAGTATGTTCCCACAAAGGAAAACCCAGCTGACTGCGCGTCCAGGGGTTTACTTCCAGAACAATTAGTTCGTCACACGCTTTGGTGGAAAGGCCCACCTTGGCTCCAAAATACTTCCGATACATGGCCAACTTTCCCCAATGAAGCTTACTGTGAAGAAATCAATAACAATTCTGCTGTATCTTTCCACACAAAAACAACAAGTCTACAATATCCCGAAATCACACTTAAATACTCAAAACTGTCAACTATGATACGAGTGACGTCATATATTCTAAACAAACACAGGCCGTTTGTTTTCAAGAAGAAATACTCTGCCTTACACAAGGAATGAGGATTCCTAACCAAAGCAGTATTGCAAAATTAGCACCGTTCTTAGATGAAAAGAACATTCTACGAGTTGGCGGTAGATTGTCAAATGCATCTATACCCTACAACACTAAACACCCGATTTTGCTATCGAAGCAAAATCCTCTTTCTTTTCTTCTATTTTCAGAAGCACATATGAAAACATTTCATGGTAGCCTCCAGCTAATGCAGTCCTACGTGTCTCGTGCCTACTGGGTTGTTTCTGCTAGAAACATAGCAAAACGTGTCCAACGCCAGTGTGTCGTCTGCTTTAAGTATAAAGCTCAAACATGTCAACAACTAATGGGCAACCTGCCCTCTGTGCGTCTACACCCAACCAGGGCATTTAAACATAGTGGACTAGACTATGCCGGCCCAATAAATATAAAAACATCGTCACTTAGGACAGCATCAACCACAAAGGGCTACATCTGTCTTTTTATCTGCATGTGTACCAAAGCGATACACTTGGAAGCAGTGACAAGTCTAAACGTCGATTCATTTCTAGCCGCATTCAGGCGCTTTATCTCTCGAAGAGGTTTATGCAGCGATCTTTATTCCGACTGTGGAACAAATTTCGTGGGTGCCAACAAAGAACTTCAAGTCCTCTATCAACGTAATAAATCGTCGCTACCCGAGCATCTTGTAGAAACGCTCGCAAATCAAGGCACTACCTGGCACTTCATTCCCCCCGCTTCACCCCACTTCGGAGGTTTATGGGAAGCAGGAGTGAAGTCAACAAAACATCATCTGCGCCGCATAATGAGAGACCGCATACTTACCTACGAGGAACTCAGCACTCTTTTGGCACAAATTGAAAGTTGCCTGAATTCTAGGCCTTTATGCCCACTGTCAGCAGACCCCGCTGACTCCGATGCCCTCACACCGGCTCATTTTCTAATTGGTGAGGCCACCAATTGTATTCCCGAAGAAGACTTGCTTTCTGTGAACATTGACCGCTTGAGTAGATGGAAATTGGTTGAACGCCTCAAGCAAAACTTTTGGGATCGCTGGAATAGAGAATATTTGTGTCGCCTTCAATCACGTCCAAAATGGAATAAAATGGAACGAAACATCAGAGTAGGCGATATAGTTCTCCTCCTACACGAACGAAGCGTTCCGGGTCAATGGCCACTTGCAAAAGTTGAAAAACTTCACCCTGGTAATGACGACTTGGTACGAGTTGTCACACTGTATTGTAATGGCAAATACATTAAACGCCCTATCTCCAAAGTATGCCTCCTGCCATCAGATGAAGTTCTACCTAAAGAAGAGAAAATTCTAACAACATAAGAACAGTCGTTCTTGGCGCGGGAGAATGTTTGGGATTTTTCCCCCCAAACTAAAAATACACTGCAATCCCTACATACAATTCTTTTCCTCCTTAAGAGTTGATTGAACTCTTTTCTATTCCCTTTTTTATTATTATTTGTTTACGCGAAACCAAACCTAACGGTCCCTTATGTAGGTACAGATGATCATACGAGTATGTATGTATGTACATATGTACATAGCTACCTAACAACGGCCGTCGGTCATCTCGCTGCTGCTGCTATTGCGTTTTCGTTTTGTTTGGTCGCAGCAAAAATTAGTCAGTTGTCTTTTGTACATCTGCATGAAGCAGATCATCGTTGTTAAAAGAAAAACATAAAATATTTTAATAAAAAGTTTGATCATGAAGATCTCAATTTAAATAAAAAAAAACAAATTAAAGTGTTTTACTATTCTGGCCATGGGGGTCAGAATACAGTAGCAACAAAAACAAAATTCTCCTACAGCTTGATCATTCACAAAAACAGAAAAATGTCATTGCAGCATACTGACATTCTTGTCAACAATGAAAAAATCGAGCTGGTATCCAGCGCCAAAAATCTTGGAGTAATTTTCAACAAATCATTAAGCTGGAACAACCATATCACTGCTATCGTAGGACAAACCTACTCAAAATTAAGGGCTCTGTGGCTAACACATTCATACACACCTCCAAATATTCGCTGTATGCTGGCCAAAACTTTCCTAGTTCCAAGCTTATTGTATGGTTGTGAGCTGTTTGCCAATTGTGATTCCCTCTGTCGTCATAAATTAAATGTCGCATTTAATAGCATAACACGATACGTGTATGGCCTAAGTAAGAGACAAAATGTCTCACAGTATTCTAAATCCCTGTATGGAGTAAATTTCGACTCACTTCTTAAAATCAAATCTCTACAACTCCTTCATAGAACTATTCTCAAACAAAAACCAACGTACCTGTTCGAAAAAATTACATTTGCAAGATCACATAGGGGAAGAAAAATTATACCTTGTCGTCGGAAGAGCCTGGTTTCTGAGAGACAATTTTACATTGGCACGATACGCGATTGGAATGCTCTACCATCTGATTTGCAATGCATTAACAATATAAGTAATTTCAAAAAACGGCTTGTACAACATTTTTCATAATTGAAAACGTTAGGTTTGATCATACAATTTATTTGTTTTACTAATCGTTCTTTTTATTAACAAATGTAATAGAAACATTTTTTTTTATTTTTTATTGTAGTTCAATTTTTTTTTTTAATTATCTCAACTCAATTAATCATATTTATTGTTTTCCATAATGTATCCTTTTCCATAATGTATCCTTTTTCCATTCTTACCACTTTTATAATATCTAAGATACTTATTATTAAAAAATTATGGACATGTGATTATATATATAATCCTGTACTGCCACTTATAAGACTTTTGTCTTGTTTTACAGGAAAATATTAATTAACTTAATAAATAAATAAAAATAAATATATATCTTCGTCCGATTTATTGTAATTGGTGCACCAAAGTCCCTATGTATCTTTCGATTTGCACGAAATTTGGCATAGCTTAATGAATTAGGTCTAGAATGATGTGTGTTAAGTTTCCTGAAATCGGTTCAGATTTAAATATAGCTTTTATATCTAACGAAGTGGAAAGTTTAGTATCGGTTGCACAATGAAATGTTTATGGATCCAATTTCATTTTGCTGGTTTTAAAATGAACCAGTAGGGAAAGTAGTAAAGTCACACGGGGCGACTATGTTATACCCTTTACCACTTTGGGTATGTTCAAGAGATGCACCCTAACAGTAGTCGAATTTTTGAAGGGCCATTGACATGAAATTGGACTAAATTAAATACATATTTAAGTACACATCTCCTCGGCAACAAACACAAATATTATAGGCTCAATTTAATACCTTGTGCAAAATTTCGTCGCAACCGGAAAAATATTGAATATTTGACGAATGTATATATATATATATATATATTTGACGAAGATATATATGGAAATTATATCTAAATTTGAACTAATTTCATCCAAACTTACCAATCGATTTGTTTGTCTCATTTCAATACATTTTTCAAATGTTAGATAAAATCGGTCGAAAACATATATGGTAGGTATTATCTAATTTTGAACTGATTTCATCCAAACTTAGCAGACCCATTTTTAGACCCATACCATTTACTTAAAATCGGACGAAAATATATATGTGGCATATAATAACGAATTTCAAGAAAACTGAACACGTCTCAGGCCAGATCGTTGTGCAAAATGTGTGTCATACATTGTAGACCTGGGGAATTGTGGGGAAATTAGCTCAAGAAGGAATGATGCGGAGACAGCAAAATTGATCAAAAGCCAACAATTTTCCCCAGTGAAAGCAGGAAATGTCATTATACAAGAAGATGGTAGTATGCCGAAACATATAACGAAATTTATAGAATTATCGGAGAAACTAGCCGAGATTGGAATACAGAGCCAGGAGGTGTTATTGACCATAATTTTATTGACAAGCATAGAAAATTGATGGCAAAATGGCTAGAAAGTGAGTTTAAACCAAATGAAAATCAAAAGATCAATGAGAACTTGTCGGAGATTATAATGTGGAAGTTACAAAAATAATTCAAGTTCCGATGGTGACGAGGAGATACCAAATTCTGGTAGGACCATGTTTAAGGCATAGCCTTACGAAAAATATCATTATTGTCCCCATACAAATATACCACCAATTGTCATTATTTTGATGGTATTGGACACGGGATTCAACTGAAAAGGCTGTAATTTGATATGTTGGATTCTTACCAGGTCGCCGTTTTGGGGTTGTACTCCCAAAATTTCAATATTTGCAGACAAATATTTCGTTCCAATTGACTGCAATTTTATATGTTGAGCCCCGAATTTTTATACCCTTCTCCACACTGTGGTACAGTGTATTATGTCTTTGTGCATATGTTTGTAACAGGCAAAAGGAATCGAGATAGATCCATGGTTCCTTTTGAGAATATACATAAAATTGCCTTCTGAGTTGATTAATGCTTGTCCGTCCGTCCATGTGAATACAATACAAGTCGCATTTATGATCCGATTGTGATGAAACTTGGCACATGTAATTTATTTGGACCAAGGACGAACCCTATTGAAATTGGACATAGCGCATTGGAATGAAGACGTTTCAGGTTTAGATAAAGCTTCCATATATATTTTCATCCGATTTCGACCAAGTTACTGAGCGCTTGATTTCATAAAATCTTGGTTTAATATTTTTCCCAAAGACCCGCAACCACATTTTTGTATATGGCAATCTTGTTCTCTATATGCGTAAACCACTTTGGCTTGCTTTTTCAGTTGTCGAAAAATTGTGCATGGGTGACCATGTTTTCTCAGTGTCATTGTAAACTTTTATTCATTTGGTTGTAAGGGCGCAGGAAGAATTCTGTGATAGTTTTCTTTCGTCAAACAAATTTTTTGCATTCCAACAATCATTTCAAACATAACTAATGTAATTTCTTTCATATATATATTTATTACAAAAAAAGTTATTTTAAATTTCCGTAAAATGCCATGGGTGGGGCACCTTTGAACATGCCCTTTAAATTCGAGTAAAAAGCGGAGTTTTTAACTTTTGGCTTCGGTTTCTCAAAATTTCAAATGGGATAATAAGACTACGAAATTAACTGTATTTTTCACCATATTAATTTTGGTTTTTATGTCATTTTATGTTTTAATAACTTTTGATCTAAATTTTTTTAAATTTTGAACATTTTTTATATATTTTTTAATGAATTAATGCATTTCTGATATGTATTAATAAAATACATACATATTTAAACATAAACACTGTAAAAAACCATGTCGTTCACAAATGTCAACCCCTGTTCAAAGCTGCCCCCCTGGGGGGGGGCAGTTTTGAACACTTTGTGTTCGTTCATTAAAACAGTAATAAAATATATTTATAAAGCTTATAGTGTGTCATATGTATATTCATTATGAAGGTTACATATGTACCTATTAGTTAAAATTTATAAGAAACCAACAATTATAAAATAAAAAATTTTATAAGGCTTGAAAGCAATCCAAATGTAAGACATAGTACTCGGTGACAATTGCCACTTTTGTACGCCACCACATGGAGGTTGCTGGTGTTGGTAGAATAACGATTGCCTGTCAGTATGGTTACGGTGTCTGTGGATAAAACTATGCCACTGGGTACACAACAACAGTTGCTTGTAGCATCGTAATGTCTACGTTTAATCTTGTTACTGTTAGGCGGTTGGTGGTGGCTTTCTGTTCTGATGCTAGTGCTGTTCCATCCATTCCATTAGGCATCGTAGAATGGTGTTGTAAAATAATTTCAGTGCTTTAAGCTTTTTCATGCAGGTTGAAAAATGAAGGTTGCCTTGGTTTGGAAGATGTTATAAGATGACAAAAGCACAATTTAGTTGTAAGATGTAATTTTGTTTACTTAATGGTTTAAGAGTGTTTAAATGTTTTTTTTTACTATTACCCATACAATTGTTGGAGTGTTAACAATTCGATGTGACATCTAACATCGGTATATTGGTCCTACATCCAGCTTTAAACATACCTCGATTACATAATCCGTGTTATGCCCGACTTCCTGGTAATGTCAATGCCCTGTTCTTAATTATAGGCCTATCACTACAAAATTGTATACGGAATTTTGGTTCTAACAATATTTGGAGTCAAGTATATGGGCAATATTGCCAATTTTTTAATATTCCATTTTCAAAAAATCAGCTTTTTTGTTTTTGTGGCACATCAATGATTTTTGGTACACATATAGAGAAAAATGTTCTGACTCCGAAACCGTTCGCGATCAAATTTTTGGTTGATGCGCGCAAAAGTTATCGAGGTTTTAATTTTGGGCATAAGAAAAAATCTTAAAATTACGCCGTTTATTATATTGACCAAAAACGTTGATATATATCTTCCTCCGTAAAATAAGAATATGAATATATTATAAAAATCGC